GGGTGCTAACACATTCTCTTTGCATAACCAACCCTCTTACCATGTCTCTGTTTTTATTAGAACTTCTTTAGGTTTTGTTCGCTCTTTTCCCTTTCCTTTGGATAAAATAAAAATGCGGTGACGACTCTTATTTTATGACTTAAGTTAATCAATAGCTTAATCTCAAATTCTCCCGCTACACTACCTACCACAATGATTACATTAAACAACACCCGTGATATTATTTAATGTGACATATTTAATCACGGTTGTTCTAAACAACCGTGATTAAATATAGACCCAAGTTTATTATAAACTATGTGAAATGCTTATTTCGCCAATGCTCACTAAACATATAACCTTTTAATCTGCATTAGAATATTATAATATGACAAATTAAGTTATATTAGAAGAATAAATTTACGTTCAATACTTGACAAGAGTTCTTCAAGTCCTTATTTGTATTTTTTCTTTGACAATAAGAATTTGGTTTAATGATCCTAGTTCTTCAACCGCCCCTGTCTTCACCTCTAAATTTTTTTTGTTGCAAAATATTATTTACTTTACAAACAAAATTAGAGATGGAGAGAGGGGTGACTGAAGATCTACGATTATTAAACCAAGTTTTAACGGTCAAAGAACAACATGTTGTTAACAGTGTGAAGAATTTTTGTCAAGAATTGAACGTGAACTTATTTTCTAATATAACTTTATCTATCCTATCATACCTTTCTAATACATTTTGGAAAATCATATAATCGATATGGGATTGGAAAAATACTCAAACCAAATAATATATAATAAACTTATCTTTTAAACAAACATTAACAATAACATTTATAAAAAACATTCATTAACAACAAACCATAAACAACAAAAACGATGCAACTAATATATCAAGGCATAAAATGCTTCAGAAACATACCATATATGTCCCATCACTACTACGAAAAAGCCATACAACCATAGTTAAAAAAAGGATACCACAACCCCTGACCATCCGTTATGAGGTAATGGGTGATTGCACGTCTGATGCTTTCCACCACTGTCGCGAGACGGTGATAGTAAAGTAGGACGCACGCTACCTACCACAACGATTAATAGTTCCAACCATTATGGTATATACATTTATGAAAAAAAGATTTAATCACGATTAAAATAAATAACCGTTATTGAAAGTACCAGAGTTTATTATAAAATATGCAAGTTGCTTATTTTTCAATAAACCTCACAACAACATACAACTATTCAAATTGATGAAGAAATATATAATCTGAAAATTAAACTATTCTTGAAAACCAACTTACATAAACCATTGTATTCCAAATTGTATGTGTCTCATCACTCATTTTTCGCTCTTTAACATATAGAATGTGGTTCAATGGTCTAAGTCCTTCATGACATCAATTCCTTCTATTCTAGTTTAATTTGAACAATATCAATACATTATTGTTATTTAAATTAAACTATAAGAGAGTATATGTATGTGATAAAGGAATTAGATTATTGAACCACAATCTATATCTAAAAGAACGAGAGATGAATGATGAGACGTATGTAATTAGGAAAACATTGATTCATATAAGTTGGTAATTTTCAAATACAACTTAATTTTTAGATTATAAGTTTCTATGTTAATTTAAATAAAATGTATTTTCAGTGAAGGGTTAGTGAAACAACGCAAGATATTATGTAATGTCTTATGAATTTAAAGAACAAAACATTGCTAAGTCACAAGAAGCTTCTTTCTTGTGACTTAACAATATTTTGTTCTTGTTCTTAAAACATTAATCAACAACAACAACAACATACACCAACATTTATCAACAACACAACAACATACAACAAAATAAGGTTCAACAACAACAATAATAACATATAACAACAACAACATACAACAACACAAGATATTAGTAATATTTAAAGTACACACTTTTTTTTAAAACTAATCGTGGATCTGGAATAAATTATGATTTTCATCTAATTTATGAAGCTATGAAGAAGAAGTATAAGATGAATGAAGTTAACACAATAACTTCATACTTTTTGTATTTTTTTAATAGCTACACAAACCATATGTATTATAGTCAAAGTATACGTTTTGTTAAGGTGGTGAAAACGAATCTGAAAAAAAATGAGAACATTCACCAAATAAAAAAATGAGAACCCATTTTTAACCAGAAATATTAACGAAATCGAAGCATAAGTTTAATGAGCGAACCTACAATATGATTAAAGAGTATCATAACGATTAGTGAAGACGAATCTGAAAGTTTAAGAAAGTTTAAAGAGTGACATAAATGTTAGGGTTATGTTATGAGAGAGAAGAGTGAAATATGTTAGGATTTTCATTTGAGAGAAATGACTGTTATGTACTGAACGATAGATACTTTCGCTTATATAGTAAAAAATATCACTTTTCATCACGGTTAGAAAGAAAAACCGTGATATAATTTTAAACTTTTACAATAATTCTTTAGTAAAACCATGATTAAATAACTTTCAATTATTTATTTATTTGTGAACGCAATGGTGAGAGAGTTATTAATTATTGTTATTGTTATTCTTCATTATTGTTGCGATTGTTGTTGTTATTTTTGTAATAATAGTGCATAAATGAAAGAGTATATAAAACAATAATAAATATTTTCATTAAGATGGCCAAAAGGGAAGAGCACATAAATAATTTCATTACATAATTTTGTCAATGTCTGAACAATATCCCCTAGCAGCAAAGGAATCTTCATAATAATTTCATTACATTTTTTCAACTTCAGTTGAGATGTTTTTGTTAGCATTCTCAGATGGAGAACTCATGTTGCTATATGAAGTTAAGAAGAATAGTTTTGAAGAAGTGAAAATTTATTATATGAAACTGTGTCTTTATAAAAGAGGCTAAAGATAAAACATCTGATGATTTAATGCTTACAATGATTACTTTTAATGGTTGATATTCATGAATGACATTGTGATTGTCTTGAAAAATGAAGAAATCTTCAATTTTTTATTTATTTATGAACTTAAGTGACACACATCTTTTTGTAATAGGAAAAATGAAAAAAATGTAGTTGGCATGATTCGAACCTTGTACCACTCACTTTATCACCACAGTTGTGTCTATTCACCGTGATTAAATAACTTTCAAAAAATAAATAAGCATTGGGCGCATCCAGTTTCAGATATTACAATGGTGGAAGACATGATCGTAGTAATATTATATTATCGAACATGTATTTCGTAGTAGTGCATAAAGGCGTGTTGTCAGTTAAATAAGGATGAAGATAAACTTAGCCCTGCAAACTTATGTATATCTTGAATGAATGTCATTCTGGGTCTTTGACACAAGTTTGTAAGACTAAATTTATCTTCGTCCACTTTATTGAAAGAAACATCCATACCTACAAGTCAAAAGAAGGAAGTTCAAACATCCTGAAACAAGCTATTGAAACAGATTTTGAAAAAAAAAACTATACAGAAAACGAATCTCTAAATATCAATTGGCTAATATTTGTTGTTATGATTTTGTTTTGCGGTTTCCATATGAGAGAGAGACGAGTGTGAGGGTGGTTAGAGTTTTGTTTTGAGAGAGACGAGTGAACGAGTTATTAGGGTTTTGTTTTGAGAGAGACGGTTGCTATGTACTGAAGCGATAAATAACTTCACTTATATATAAATAAATTCACCTTTCATCACAATTGTTAATAAAAACTGTGGTAATATATAAGGTCAATAACATTTTTATCACCATAAATGACTAATTGTAGGTGATGGGATTCAAATCATTTCACCCCATGTACCTTTTCACCACTGTTGCTTCATTTGACCGTTGTGACATGTTCTCTAGTAAATAGAAAAAAAAAGCCCAGAAATAAACTATTACCACAGTTAACACTGTGACTATTATAAAATTGGTGTTGCGAAAGATATATTTTGTAGTAGTGTGGTACTCTTATTGCCTTGTGTTTACGACATGAACATTGTATTTGCTTGATACTTGAGACATTTTGAAGTCTTTTTCGTTTCAACGTTGCAAGTATATTTTTAGGCGACAATATATTCAATGTCATGTCAGAAACAAGTTTCTTCTCCCCAGGATTAATGCAATAAATAATGGGATGACTGGCTAACTTGTGGCATAAGTCATGATTATGTATACCAGAAACCCCATTAAACTTTCATATACTATTCACCTTAAGGTATCCATGCACCTTAAAATGACATTCACATTTTCTCAATCCAGTGTCGTCCTATTTCAACTTCCTAATAGGTTGCTGGTACTTACCACTTATTTCACATTTCATTGTTACAAATGTTTGTCTTCTATCATAACCATTATTAGACCTCCCGATTAAAACATATAATCTCAGTTTGGCGGCCTTGTGCGTGTCCATTGGAGCATATTTTCACGAACAACAAACTCATATTTACTTGTAAATTATTCACAAACATCTACCTTGACATCAACCAGTTTGACATCTACCTTAATATCAATTGATTTAGCATCATCTTCAACATCACTCAATTTAACATCATCCTCCACTTCACCCGAATTAACATCAATATGCACGATAACTTTGCAAAAAGTATCCGGTGTACCATATCTTCGACTAACCATAACAATATGCACTGAATTGTGAAATAATAAAGCTTAGTAAATAAATACACCTTCATTGAATAAATATATCTTCAACATCTATTTTATATGTATTTGGTACATCACGATATGCACTTCAGAAATATGAAAAAGGGCAAATTCGAGTTTTCAAAAGGGGTCCGAAAAGTAAACCCTGCACACGCGTTAGAGAATAAGAAAGCCCAATTGAGAAAGGAATATGAAAGCTGGGCCTTAAACTCACTTCAATTTCAATCTCCTCAAGACCTACTCTCTCTCTCTCTCTCTCTCTCTCTCGTCTCGTGACTGTATTTTCCGGTGAGTTAGCTTCTCTTTGGGAAAACACCCACCGGTGAGTTCATCTCAGTTGATTCACAATTTTCATCTCGTTGTTGATTACAGAGACAAAATGGGTATCATTGAGAAGATCAAAGAAATTGAGTTCGAGATGGCTCGGACTCAGAAAAACAAAGCCACTGGTTCTTACTCTTTCCCCTTTTCACTTTATTCAATTTTAATTTCCTTATAACTCGTAAAAAATTTGATTTTTTTTAGTTGGGCGTTCCTTTATTTCTCCTATCTTCGAAATTAATTAAGCTTATAAGTTTAGTTGATTGGGTATGGATTAATTTTTGGCTTAATGTGCTTGAGTTTTCATTATCATAGATTTAATTTGAATTTTGTACTGTCTACAATAGAGTATCATCTTGGGCAGCTCAAGGCTAAGATAGCTAAACTAAGGACACAATTGTTGGAACCTCCAAAGGTATGGCAACTATATAAAGAGACTTTTAAGTTCAATGTTTTGGTGATATCAATATGTATGATGCCATGATTTTAACACTTGTTTTCTGCATTTCTATGTGTTGATACAATTAAGGGTGATTAGAATTGCATATGTGTAGTCCCGTTAAGCCAACTCAATTGGTCGGACATCCGACTGGAGGGTGCTGGTTCGAACCCACGACATCCCACTTATTCCATCCACTAGGCTATTAGACCAAAAAAAAATTGCATTTGGGTAGTCTTGGCTCTTAGGGTATGTTTGGATATTGGATTTTGGAGGGGGAGGACTTGTTTTTATTTTTAAATTAAGGAAGATATAAAATGTTTCTAAAAGTAAATTTAGTGCAATTGAAATGTTATATGAGCGTCTATCTTGTTATTCTATCAAATATTTTTAAAATCACAAATGTTTTACCAAAATATAGGCTTAGCCCTCCAAAACCTTCGAACCCAACGTAACTTTAGGATTTTAATTCCGTCATTTTCTGCCTAAGGTAATTGGTTATATATGACTATCTAATTGACTAGGCTAAATTTCTTAACTGAGTATTATGTGTTTTTCAAGGAAATGCAAAAACACATGAGCTAGAATGGTTTTATGATTTTAGTATTAGGTGTTTGACATTTCTTCCGAGTATGATGTCTGTTTTAATATTTGTAGATTTAGAAAGGAAGTAATTTTCTTTTTCCTACTTTTTGCTTTGATAGAACAATATTTACTCAGAACCTTAGCTTTTAATGCTATAGTTAATTGTTGTTTGAGCTACTGAAGAATATATCTCCTCTTATTGTGCTTCATTATCATTACCATTCATATTTACATGTGAAATGCCTATGGAGGGACCATTGCTGGATTTCTTCTATTAATGGTCTTTGTTAATCCAGCCATAATTTCTTTAGTAAAGAATTTGTTTGCAATTCTCGTGTCACTTTTTGTCTACTCGTTTGAAGGCATTACATTAATGTTATATTTTATGTGTGGTCATAGAGTTTATGAATGGATTATGATGCCAGATTCTTTGATGAAAAACCCTTTCCACTTGTTTTTGGGGTGGTTCATCTGTCTTCTTGGCTTCTTCTATCTCTGAATAGCACATCAGCAAGCTGAAATGCTCTTTCTTTTTGTTTTTTGTTCACTTTGGTTTTTATTTGCTTTTGGAGGATTTCTTTTTCCTGTGTTTGTAATCCTTGTATTTGTCCAGTATCATCCTACTATGATCTATTATAATTATTGATGTTCATGAATTCGGTTCGTAAATATTTCATGTCTCTTTTTCTTGGTTTAACGGGCCTAGGTTTCTATATTATACGTCAGCACAGCATACTATCGTTTTCTACATATTTTTATAAGACATGGTATGTTGTCATCAACTTATGTAATAGGGTTCTAGTGGCGGTGGAGACGGATTTGAAGTTACGAAGTTTGGCCATGGACGTGTTGCACTGATTGGGTTTCCAAGGTTTGCCTTCAAAATAATTATTTTCCTAGTTTATGTGTTTTATTTACTATCACTATTAATATCTAGATTAATTAAATTTGTATTGGGCTTCATTTCTTCAAATGTTTGTGTAATGTGTACACACAACTATATTTCTTTTGTGGTATACACATGCCTAGTTTTTTAATTGAAAATGTAGAGCTTATCATGTTTCGCCTTTTCATTTGCCAGTGTGGGTAAGTCAACTCTTTTGACGCTATTGACGGGTACTCATTCTGAAGCGGCATCTTATGAGTTCACAACTTTGACCTGCATTCCTGGGATTATACACTACAATGATACTAAGATTCAGTTGCTTGATCTTCCTGGAATTATTGAGGGTGCTTCTGAAGGCAAGGGGCGTGGGAGACAGGTAAAACTAAAATTCCCTGTTTCTATCATTCTAGTAATACTCAGCCTGTAGCGTATTTTTCGCATCTACGAATTGATATTCAGCTTGCAAACAATGCTGTTGTTACACATCTTAATATACATCAGGAGTGAGTACTGACTAGAAAATTATGCGTGAGTACTGACTAGAATATTATGCTTGGTTCTTTTAACTTATTGCTTTGGGAAAATAACTTTATTATAATAACAGTGAAAGAATTTTTGTTTTGTGAATGTTTTCTCAGGTTATTGCTGTTGCTAAATCCTCAGACATAGTTTTGATGGTTCTCGATGCCTCCAAAGTAAGTTCAATTTGGCATTTTCTAAAGTGTTCTTTTCACTCTTTATGTTGTTAGTAACTTAGTATTGCTAGATGATAAAATGGTATTTTGGCTTACGATAAATTACTATTTTGAGCTCTGACAATCAATAATTTTCATACGTATTCTTGAATTGTGTTGACTCATTCAACATTATCATTAAAGACACTCATCAAACTGGCTTTGGAAAAAAACTGTTTGCTTTGGAAAAAAAATTGGTTGCCTTTTCATTGTAATAATGTGTGGTATCACTTTAGTTTTTCTTTGTAAATCAGTGTTGTCAAATAATGGCTATAGTGTGACAGAATTTGAACAAATTCTTATTGTTCTGTAATACACTATTTAGTACAAACTACAACGTGTTGTCATATAGTGGCTATAGCAGCACTATAACCCTATAGTATAGCAGAATTTGAACAAACCGTTATCTGATGCGAGATTGTCAAATGTTGTTAATATAAGTCACTTTCATAACTCTTTTATCTGATTATATAAGATCGTCTTATTGTTGGATACTGATTCTAACTTCTTCCTCCACTTGGTAAACAATGACTTTGAGTTCAACATATTTTTGTTTTTCTCCCCTTCATTTCAGTCCTTTAGTTACTTGTACTGTTTTAGGCCTCCCTCCATCCAAAGAATACACTTTTACTATACCATAATGCTTGTGCATCTGTTCTTTTTTTCCTTTATCTTTTTCAAAAATCCACGTTGCTTGTGGAATTGCTTCACACTGTTTGGAATTGGATAAGATTATTGCGTTTTTTATATATTTTTAAATTCCTAAACTTTCAATTTTCTTGCCATGACCTTTTTTAATGTGTTAGAGTGAGGGTCATAGGCAAATATTGACTAAGGAGCTGGAAGCTGTCGGCTTGCGACTAAACAAGAGACCACCTCAGGTATGTTTGTTCCTGAATGGATATGTTGATACATGACACGCAACCTATATTTTTTTATTTGGGTTCTAGTTGGGTTTATATATTGTTTTTCATAAATAATTTGGAACTTTATATTTCTTTGCAGATATATTTTAAGAAGAAAAAGACGGGTGGCATTTCATTCAACAGCACTATGCCCTTAACTCATGTGGATGAGAAGCTTTGTTATCAGATTCTACACGAGTACAAAATTCACAATGCAGAGGTATGTAGCAACCTTTAAAGTGGTGTCAGTTGTAATTCAGTTATATGAACCAGTTGTTACGAGATATTATAATTGTGCAGCTGTAGCCACCATCACAAATGTTAAATTTGCATAGTATGCTTAAGCATGGCTAGTCGGTGATATGAGCATACTGTGTTTTCCTTTAGGCCACCTCTGTTAAAGACCTCGAGCCATTAAGTAGAATCCTAAGAAATATTTTAAATCTATAATATGATTTCTGTAGCATGGCCTTTCCCACAATACTATCATTGAATATGAGAGAAGTAGTTGACATTTGCTTATATTTCATTCCATAAAGCACGAGATAAAATATGCTTAAAATTTATTGCAGAGAGAGTACTTGATATCACATGTTCCTTTTCAGTTTTCAACTATCTCTTTCCAAGTAGACACAGATTTTCATTCTGATGAAAACTGTGATTATAAAGATCAGACTGACCCTTTGTATAATGTAGAAGTGTTGAGTTTAACCGGTAATTGTTTTTTTTTTTTTTGCCGGTGGTAGAACCATACCATTTTGATGAAATATGTAATTTTCCTTGCTACATTTATCATACTATAATTGTTTTATTTTCCCCCTTCTGTTTTATACTACCTGCCTATATGAATGAGACAGCTAACAACTTCAATTTTCAGATCCTTTTCCGTGAGGATGCGACAGTGGATGATTTCATAGATGTCATTGAAGGAAACCGTAAATACATGAAGTGTGTATATGTCTACAACAAGATAGATGTTGTTGGTATTGATGATGTGGACAGATTATCCCGTCAACCTAATTCTGTTGTCATTAGCTGTAATTTAAAGGTAGCTGCATATTTTCAGTGTCAAGAAAAGAATACAAGATACAGTAAAGTTTTGCCAATTAATTCTTTTTAACATTCTAGAAATTATCGTACATTAAACATTTATACTTTTTCAACTTTTTTGTATGTCAGTAACACAAGTATTCTGTTTTTATGTAAACAGCTGAATTTAGACAGACTACTTTCAAGGATGTGGGATGAAATGGGTTTGGTCAGAGTTTATACAAAACCGCAAGGCCAGCAGCCTGATTTCAGTGATCCAGTGGTTCTTTCAGCTGTATGTTACATTATTGATTATTGTTATTATGAACACACACGTGCTCCTTATTCTATTTTCTTAGAAAACCTTTGGTTACTTTTTGTTTTAGGGACTGTTTGGATTGTGACTTACTTGAGTTTATTTTCTGACATAAGCACTTGTGAGACTGATTGAGAGAGTTTATGGAAACAACTTATAACATGTCCATAAGCTGTTTTTCAGTTTATCCATAAGCTCTCCACAATGGCTTATATCAAAGTAGTTATATACTTTATTTTATCTTTTGTTATATAAATAACTTATAACAAGCACTGACTGATATGATGAGTGCTTATGATATAAGCGTTTTTAATTAAACTTCAATCTTCTAATTCATCACTATCTATTGCATATTGTTTTAGGATAGAGGTGGCTGCAGTGTGGAAGATTTCTGCAACCACATACATAGAAGTTTGGTGAAGGATGTGAAGTATGTTCTGGTGTGGGGTATAAGTGCTAGGCACTATCCACAACATTGCGGCCTTAGTCACGTTCTTCGTGATGAAGATGTTGTTCAGATTGTTAAGAAAAAGGTTAGAAATCTACCCTTCACCTTGTCTTGTGCTGTCTAACTTATTGGTGCAGTGTTGTTAAATTGCAGCTACAGCATTGCATAGTTTGAACAAATTACCATTGTTCCACTATAAGCCATTTATTATAAATATTGTCAAATAGTAGCTATAGTGTCACTATAACACTATTGACAACATTATTGACAACATTGGTTGTGTATCATTGTTCAAATTCTATGTTCTTGACTTGTTACTTGCTGAACACATGCATATTTGCAATGACGAGAGATTGAATATGAATGAATATACAGGAAACAGATGAGGGAGGAAGGGGTCGTTTCAAGTCACATTCCGACGCACCTGCTCGGATATCAGACAGACAAAAGAAGGCTCCACTTAAACAATAAAGACATAACACCGCCTATGATTTCAATGAATTGGTATGTGGATGGAAAGAAAGAGTGGATGTTGGTTATATATCCAGAAGCAAAAGTAGTACTTTTTTGGTTCCTCTTCCCAAATAGGATTGAATGTTCCTCTATGTTTTCATCACCCATATGTTGTAATTTTTTCATCCTTTCAACAATAGCTTTTATGAATCTATGGAGTCTGCACAATGAGTTGAGAAATAGAAAGCAAAGGAAAAACATGAACTGCATCTTGAAAATTTCGCAGTCATTATCTGTGATTGCATATAATACCTATATGTGCTGATGGTGTGCCTTTGAGGGTGAATCATCATACTACTAGAGTTGAAACTTGAATGAGCCAATTAAGTGTTTCGGTTTGAGCAAAAGAGTGAGATAAAAATCAAGAAATTATTGTATTTTACAGAGAAATGAATTTTGTATATTCAAGAAATGAACTTAATGTTGAAGAAATAATTTAAACTAACAAACCAATCATTTGAAAATAGAGTCCAACATGATTGTACTAAAATGAAATGTTGATGCATTTTTATGAAAAACAAAGTGATTTTTTTAGAAGTGATGCATATGAAGAGTACAAAATATAAATATAAACCAAAGCTTATTAAATAAGTTTTGGTTTATACATGAAGCTCACTTTATATAGAATCAAAATCTTATTTAAACTAAACGTCCTTTTCCTATGAAGCTCACTATCTTTTTCTTTTTTTAACTCTATGTAAAGCTCTTATCCTACAAAATGTGTGAGTGGATGGATCCTAGGCTCAAGCAATAATAAAGACTTGACTAAGAATATCACATCCTCATCCTACAAAGTCAATTATTGCAACTTTTCATGGTTAGGCAAAATGTCACCTTCCATTGTTTTATTCTCTCAGTCATTGTCATGTCAATTGAGTTGTATAACACACTAAAACCAATTATTGTTCATGTTAGGTTTATGTCTAACTTTGCAACCAAATAAACTAGTAACAAATGTTGGTCCTAAAACTATGGTTGATTTCTTTCTTAACACACAAGAATCACAAACTAATATAAAATATAAACAACCATATAGCTTGTCTAGCATGAATCATATCTATTGACAACTTAAATCCAAGTCTCTAAATAATTGAATTAAGAGCTTATGTATAAATAACTAAAGATGAAATAAGTTGAATTACTTTCACATAAGTTATAAGTTGTTTTTATAAACAATTTTAAAAAAACATGTAAAAAAATGCCAAAAACATCTTAGAAAATATGTCATAAATTGTTTTCATAAACTCTCACAAGTACTTATATCAACAGATAAACTCAAATACATCAATCCAGACCGACTTTGACAATCAAACTCCTTGCTATCCAGTCTACTCGCCTGGAATCTATCAAACTAATTTAAAACTTTGTAGAATCTTTAGCCAAACCTTTTCCCAAGAAATTCTACTATAACGAAGAAAAACATCAGAAAAAGTCATTATGTGATATTATTGAACATGTCAGAATGATAAAAGACCAACATATATAGCCTCCCTGGTTTTTTATCCTAGCAGTAAATGTTGGTTAAAGACCACAATCATCAATAAATGTTAACATTTATTAAAAAAGCAAGTGGTAGTTCTTGGATCTCAATCTAACACAAAATCATGAAAATTTGATTAACTTGTCCATAAGAACATGTTTCATTTCATGATGCTAAAGTGTTACAGAAAATCACAACTGTGAAGTCCTCAAATTGATGCTACATTAATTAGATTATCAACTAAAGCTATGAGCCTTTTTAAACATAAAACCAATACGGAAGAAATCGACGCAGAAGAAACCTTGGAGGAGTTACACATAGTCTCACCAGAAAAATTCATTCATTCCAGCATCAGAATAAACTTCTTCACTTCACTGCCTCACGAAACCTCGAATCTCAACCTGTTAACTTGATCTAATTCTCTTCTGGTTGACTTTTCCATCCGATTTTAGAGTTCCACTCGAGTCCCCTTCAGACGAAGCTTCTTGCGACTTGGTAAAAGAACTCGAAAGATCAGCATAAAGATCAACCACTCTTCTGATATTGCTATTGAGCTCTCTAATCAAACCGACATTTCTGCTCAGATTATCAGGCATCCTAGACTCATGATTTTGGTTTATCTCATTGATTAAAAGCCGGTTTTGATTCAAAATATCTTGCGCTTGCAATAAACTCTTCTGAAATACCTGTAAAAGCCTACTATCTACTTGACTCGTATCGCCTAGTTCTCCGAATATATCACCTTCCATTTTTCAATTACACTTTAGAATTCAATCAACAAATAATCCTGCAAAATAGTAATATCAACAAAACAATAAATCATGATCAATAAGAAAAAGAAAACAAGACAAAAGTGATGACAACTCTATACAAAAACATAAAGCAGAAACTAACAGAATAAGATGCTTGATCTATCAGATTAGAACAGATATGAAAAGCAAAAATCAAAAGATGAAACATGTTTTTTGGGAAGCAAAATCAAAACACATGCTTTTACCATATTCTTTCCTCTATCTACCAAGCAACCAAACAAAAGGGTACTAAGGGTTTGATTTGCATAAGATTCTCAAAGACCAAGGAAAAAGAAATCACCAGCTAGAAATGATTTTTCTTTCACTGAGTTAAAGTAAAACCCTTTTCAACAAGAAAGAACCTTTTTTTCCTTTTACTGTTACCAATGAAATCAAGATGGAATGGAGCAGAAAACAGTGACACACAAAAAGCACAAAACAACAATAGTGAGAATCCCAAAAGCCAAGTCAATCAATACCATATAAAAATCTTAACTTCCAATAAAAATAAGACAAACCCATAAATAAAAATTATACCTTTTTATTGCCAAAAAAATAAAAATAAAACATGGGTTCAATTTTGCAATAGACAAACAAACCCAACAAACCCATCAAACCCAGAAGATAATATTGAATGATTGTTACGTTGTCTTACCTTGACAGAGTGAAGTATCCAAATGGGGTATCTTATGTTGAAAAAAAATGAGATTTTTATTCGATTTGAGGAGGTAAAAAAGAGATTTTTCTGGAGAAAAAACTAGGGGAAAAAGAGAGAATGGAATATGGAAGAAGACCCTGAAATCATGGTGAAAAAAACAAGAGAAAGAGATGATGATGATGATGATAGTACATGATATGATATATGAGATAAAGTGTGTGAAAACCTCGTTTATATCAGACGCAGGTTATATGCAGTTGTGTTGTGGGCACAGCACAGACAGAATACATGACAGACAGATTCATTCTATAATGCAAGTTGCCCACATTCAATTTCAAGACCAACACCATTTATGTCATTTTACATTTGTTGTTGTTGTTATTGTTGGGATTTGGATTCCTTGAATTAAATATGCTTGCTATACATTTATTAATTGATTTATTTTGTGATTACATTAATTTTCGAGATTAATCATCAAAAAGTGATGACAATGCTATTTCAATGAAGTCCTTAAAAGTTATCTTATTTGATTCAATGAAGCTATTATCAGGGTTTTTAATCCAAACTAGAAAAATAACTATGAGGACATTTTAAAATGGACCAAAGGTCGAACACTTAAGGAACAAATTTCTGATGTATAAATCATCCGATATTATGGAAGAATTTTTTTAACATATATAATGTTATATAGAGTAGCTCGGAGAAAAGAACACTAAATACTATAAGTAGTTCCCAATTAAAATAAGTGTATATAAGAGAAACAAATCGAACTATCAACTTTATGATAGGATGCCATATGACTTTAAGTAATAGAATAAACATTTTAAGAAGTCAATTATTAAAAGAGATCCTGCACGCGAAATTGTTGTAAGAATCAACCAAGTCAAAGGATTAGATGAGCCTAACTGAGAGTTTCTGATGTGTTTATCACCAAATGAAAAGGCATGACACCAATACCTATTTCTAGTTGAAGAGAGGGATTGAGAGATTGACTCAACAAGAATATTTAAAGAAATATAGAGAAGGTCCCCAGTAAAAAACATGTTCATCCAAGAACAAGAATAAACAAACTAGACCGAGATCACCTTAATTTTGTAGGGGGAGATAAAGAATAGTACAATAAGAAGGATGCCTCTTAACCTAGGCACAATACCAATACCATAGTCAATAGTTTCTAGGGAGAAGAAAAATCTAACTCGTCAAGAAGAAGACATGCAAAACACGTGGACAATGTTTATAACCAAATCAAAGACTTGACATTCTTCATATCTAAAATATCACCTTTTTGACAAAAGACCATGTCGGACTCAGTCCCTGTGAAGATGACCCAATGGTGAACTAAGTGAAGATTTTCAAGTGGGGTATGAAATTGGTCTTCAGTGATCATGACAACTCCATCGACATTCTATATTAAGACGCATTTGAAGAACTACAACCACTACTAGACGAAAACCACATTTCACCTTAGTTGGAAAATGACGTTTACTTTGTTTGAGTGGCCGAGGTAACATAGAATGTCATAGAAATTGCACTACCTTTTATCGTGGGCCACTTGTCAAGGTGAAAAACTATAAAGCGTGTCACTTTTCTCCTCAGGTGGACCTATCAATCGAAGGGAAAAATGAAACTGGTCATGGATTTGATTCCAAACAATATATTTTTATTTTGAAAATGGCACATTAGAGTGAGAACTAAGGTACTTTTCGCCTTGGTTGGAATGAGAACCGAGGTGAAAAACTACAAAACGCCCAACTTTTCCCCTTCACTGAGACTTTTAACCAAGGGGATATGTATTAGGAGATCACCTTTTTCCCCTTGAATGAGAGGTCCAATCGAGGGGAAATCCATTGTTTTTTTTTATTTATTTTTAATTTTACATATTTTTCATTATAATTTGTATTTTTATGAAACAAAACATAAATAACAATTTGTATACCATATTTTAAATACATTTTGTGAAAAAAAACCTAAATGACACATTTGTGAAACAAAACTATACATTATGTACTAAAATGACACACATTTTGTACAAAAACTATACATTATTTACATCAAAACCAAAATAACACACATTCTATAAAAAAAAAACACATTATTTACATCAAAACAAAAATGACACACATTATATCAAATGGTTAACAAATAGAGAAACAACTAACATACCAAATCAACGTGCACATGACTCATAAAACTCAAGGAAGCAAGTTGTTCAACGTGAACAGACGTCATATAAGTCTTCTTCTATGAATGGTGTCCTTTCGTTAAACACTTATAAGTTAAATGAAATGTAAAACACTTAGAAATATTAATAAACTATTATGTAGTAAAAATCATTAATATATAATTATAAATATACAATACCTGATTCCATTAATAAATAATGTTGATAGAGAAAATGTTCAACATGTGTTTCATCACATAATATTCACACTTGTATCCTTCTGAATGTATCCTCGTCTACAAATAAATTTTATATAGTGAGTAATAATACATACAAAAGCACAAGTTATATATATATATATATATATATATATATATATATATATATATATATATATATATATATATATATATATATATATATATATATATATATATATATATATATATATATATATATATATATATATATATATATATATATATATATATATATATATATATATATATATATATATTGTTGTAAATGTGCCTTAAAACTTTTGTTGATGAAGAGAAAGAAAATATATTTTGGAGATTGTATTTACCGTGAAAATCAGACGAAAAGTTGAGAAAACAATTCGATTGGTGAATAGTGTTGTCCGTACGATGAATAATGTTTTCGAGTTTTCAGGCTTTTTCGATTCGGTCCATGGATCCATGTGATTTTAGGTTTTTTTTTTGTTGGGTATTTGCTATTATAAAGATGTATCTCTTATGTGCCTGGTGTGTGACAATGTTATAGTTTTCACCAACAAGGGAGACAAATGTTTTAAAGGTATAACATAGGATTTCAGCTATGCACAAAGAAAACCTTGGATTACACCTTGGGTTTGAGTGATTCATATATTAAGAGTTGAAGAGGCAGGGAAACACTTGGGTAGAAAATAAGGTTGTTCTTGGGCGACTTCAGAGTTGTTCTTGGGAACTTGAAAGAGAAGACTATTTTCTTGTAACTCATCTGTAATGTCTTGTAATAACTTTCTGAGTATAGTGAATTGGAGAAATTTTCTCTCTCTCGGAGTAGATCGCTTGATCGAACTGGGTAAACAAACTTTCGGTTTTTTCTTGCCTTATTTTGTTATATTATCTGCGTACGGATTATTATTGCTGAAGATCATTTATTTTGGTTGCTTTTGTTCTTTGCCTCACAATTTGATATTAAATTTTGTCATAATTCAAAAAAGATTCACAACAAGTGGTGCGGTGAGCGGGGAGCAAAGAGATATTATTGACAAGTGAGCACCATGGTTAGTAGATGGCAGATCGAAATTTTTTTCGGTAACAACGACTTCGGGTTGTGGAAAATTAAGATGCAAGCAATTTTAATTCAAGAGAAGTGTATCGATGCTTTGAAGAGTAAAATATTGATGTCTGTAGGGCTTACACATGTACAAAAGACCGAGATGATGGATAAGGTCAGGAATGCCATTATCTTGTGCCTTGGGGATAAAGTTCTAAGAGAAGTCGACAGGGAGCAAACAACGGTTGCTATGTGGGCAAAACTTGAATAATTGTATATGACAAAGTCTTTGGCTTATAGGTTGTATCTGAAACAATAACTCTACTCATTCTGAATGGTGGAGAACAAATCCATAGTTGAGAAGCTCATAGTATTTCACAAGAGTATGGATGATCTTGAGAATATTGAAGTGAAGATTGATGATGAGGACAAGGCTTTTCTCCTGTTGAGTTCATTACCCAGATCCTTTGAGTACTTTAAGGATGTCTTTCTTTATGGTAAGGAAGGTACTATTACTTTGGATGAAGTCCAAACGATGGTGAAATCCAAAGAATTTTCAAAGTCGAAAGATTTGAAGATTGAAAGTAGTGGTGAAGGCTTAAACGTGTTAAGAGGAGGAGGTGAGCGTAAAGGAAGGTCCAAATTAAAGAGGTTTGAAAAGTCAAAGGTAAAATGTTTTAATTGTCAGAAAATTGGTCACTTTAAAAGGGATTTTTCTGAAAGAAAGGTCAATGAAGATTCTGTTCAAGCTGTAGTCGCATTGGGTGAGGAAAGTTATGAGGATGCTGAAGCACTAGTAGTATCGAGTTTAGAAACTGAAGATAGTTAGATCATTGACTCAGGTTGCTCTTATCACAC